ATTGTAAACGTTTTCTTTGTCATCCACTCGTTACATCATGGTCGATCAAAACCGACTTTTTTTTTTTTAAATGTATACGTAATTATAAGCAATTCAAACTAGTATATAAAAAAAATCGTTTAAAGGTTTTCTCCCGTGTTGATGTTACTCAAATATCACTACACTCTTGGATAAAATAAACAATCCCTACCTTTTTGTTGACCGTTGATTGTCACATATACAACCCAATATTATATTTGTCGCTCATGTAGATTCGTTTGGTGAAATAGATACGCATGTTCTTTTGAAACTTTTAATAAAACAATAATGTATCAACTAGTAAGGTCTGACTCTCATGAACATACATGGGTAAGCTTGCAAGAATTTACTAGTTGATTTTAGTACGTACGGAAAATGACTTTTAAATTGGTGTGAATTTTGGCTAGTTATGAAACTCTAGCTATGTATATTTGTAGTGACCTTAAACTTACAATTCTATGATGTTTGTACAACATATTAAGTGTTTTGTTTTGTTTTTCTTAAATAGCGGATTTTGTTTTCATTTTCTAGGTCATATTGTTAAAAAAAAAAAAAAAGTGAGCTCAAGAGAAAACAGAAAAATAATTGTTGCCAAAACAAATAAGGAAAATCAGTAATAAAATAACGTGGCGTGACATGAGTGGTTACGTAATAACACAGGGAACATCATCGCGGCGAAAAAGCTCCTTATCGCCTTCGGTGCTGGCCCCACTTAATTCTCTTTTGTCCCCACAAAGTTCTCATTTTTTCTCGTTTTACCCTTTCAATTTACATGCAAATTCTTAATTTAATTCAGACTTTTAAATGACAGACCACTTACATTAAACTCGAATTTTAGATGTGCTTAGAGTTTGGAATATCCATGTTTACAAATTTTAGATAGATAACGATATAAGATTAAATGTTTTCATGAAAAATTAAAAACAACTACATTGGAATTCTGATACCATGTTCATCACTTTAGACAAACAAATTTAATATTTACTTCTTTATTAGATAAGTGAATCTTTTAGATCAAATTCCACAAATCATGTAATTATGTTCGGTTGAGATTATAGAGAGTATATATATACTTATACTCAAAATGGCTTATACTACATGGCTTTTTTGTTAACAAAAAAATTCCGGATCTAAGTTTATACGTAGTATTTTTTCATTCGGGATCCCTTTAATTAGTGTTCATTTTGAACGTAAATCATTATTTCCAAATGTGGATTTAAAATTACTAGGATAACGAAGTTCCCTCGATTAGTTTTTGTCACATATATAGTACATATTGGCATTTCTTCAACATTTATTGAAAGTAATAGTCGAGTCTTCATTCGTCCAACAAAAAAAAAAAACTACACCTCATACTCGTTCAATTCGTTCAAATGTTGATAAATTTCTTTCTCGAATAAAGCAAGGATCAGAGAAATTAGAATATGTGTCATTAGAATCTATTGTGAAATATTATGACCTAATGCTAGACCTTTTTTTTTTTTTTTCCTCTCTTCTTTAAGGCATTTTTCATTTTCTCTTATGTTGTGATATTGCTAGTA